GCTGATCGACTCTTGGCCACTTCGGAGCACTTTTGCCAACTTTAGTCCCCTGCCCTGCGTTAATTCTATTCTCCGGTTTATAGTAATGGATCTAGGTTTCGTTAAAACTGCTAAAATTTGCTACACGATCATGATTTTGGTCAATGGTCAGTAAATTTTCATATTCCATCGGTTTCTTTTGCTTCCTTCCCCGTGTTATTTCTCAAATAACACTGTTTAATGAGAGATCGAAAACAGTTTTTCTCCATATGCGTAATTTTTCCAAACACGTCATCTTTATGCAGCTGTCAAAAATATACGAATGTCCTCATCGCGCTAAAATTCAACATGTATGCCTAAATAGGTTTGACCACCAACAAGAAGCGAAACGGAGGGCTTTTTCACAATCCAAATTTCTTTGCGCATGTGCGAAATCGGCCATAGTGTTAGTAGTGTTGTTTATATATTGAGAAGTGTTATTGTATTGTATTGAGAAGTTATTTAGTTAGTTAGTTAGTTATTTAGTTAGTTAGTTAATTTAATATATTTGTGTAATAAACTTATTGTGATGGCTGCACGAAAGGGAGGATTTTATTGTGTTGTTCGTGGGTACCCATCGAAAACTGGGGAAGGAATTAGTCTCTTTTCAATACCGACTGATCGTAGCAGCAAATTACAAATGTTGTCTGAATGTTCATATTTTAGTTAAATACACTTTTTTTTAGAGCCGAATTATGGCTGAAAGCGGCCAATAGATATGATCTGCTTTCCAAGGGTGCTGAATTGCATACTAATTATAGAATCTGCGAGAAACATTTTGAACCGGTGTACATGTACAAAGGAAACACACGGAAGTATTTATTTCAACAAGCACATCCAACGATTTTCTCACACAGCCAATATTCAAAACACACAGACGAACCATTAAAGAAAGTCATAAGGCTGGAAGGTAGATGCTTTTTATTTATTCACAATTATAGTGCTTTATTATAAAAGTCATATAAAAATCAGTATCTACTTACAACTATATACAAAGTTGTTTGTTGTTTTTCATAATATAAACAAGATCTGGATTTTTTAATGATCTTTTATCAGCCTTATTAAGAACATAATATATCTTATGGTTACATACTGAGTAATATTTATGTCGTTGTTTTAGGTACCACTGAAACGTATAATGTACAGGAAGTAATTATTAATAGTCCAACTGATAAAAACCATAATAATATACCTGATACTTTGATGGAAGAGTTTCTGGTAACAGGTAATTTTATTTATTGCTACAACTGTATTATGCATTCAACTAATCACTAATAAGCATTAACATATCTACTTTGAACGTTTATATGTTTATGGTTATTAAATATATTTTTATATTTCAGATGTTAATAGGCAGGAAGTGTCTAGCCCACCTAGGCCCCATACTCCAGCTCCATTTTTTACAGCTGCAACATAAACCCCCTCCAAGTTGTCGGGAGGTACACCAAGATAAAGGAAACTTAGATTGAAAATAAAAAAATTGCGTGCAAGTGCAAAGAAAGCATATGCGTCTTCCAAACAGAAGGAAGACAATAAATCTTTAAAAAAAAATTTTCAAATGTGTGACAAATTTTTAAACAAATCCCTAGCACAAATAGTGAAAGCTCAAGCAATTTTAAAAACTAAATGTCCAAAATTAGAAGGTATTCTGATGAATATAAACAATTTGCATTAACACTATATTTTTTGGGCCCAAGAGCGTATGCTTTTATGGAAAGAATATTGTATTTGCCCTCAAAACGAAGTCTTCAAAAAATTACTGAAAATTTGGTCTGTAAACCTGGTTTGAATAATGACCAAATATTTGATGCCCTAAAGTTAAAAGTGAACACAATGTTAGATCAGGACAAGCACTGTAGTATTTGTATTGATGAAATGTCTATTAAAAGTAATTTATTTTTTGATACAGGTTGTGATGAGATTGTTGGTCTATATGATATAGGAAATGGGAAAAAGGAATCAATAATTGCACAAAATGTACTTGTGATAATGGTTCGAGGCTTATATTCAAACAACAACTAGCATATTTCTTTGTAAACACTACCTTTGAAGCAAATCATCTTCTTCCTATTATAAAAGAATGTATTTCTAAACTATTTCAATCAGGTTTATATGTGAATTGTCTTGTTACTGATATGGGAACGAATTTTCTAAAATTGAGTAAATTACTGGGGATTTCTCCAACTAACTCAGAATTTGATGTCAATGGACAAAAGATTATTTATATATTTGATCCATGTCATTTAATTAAAGCCGCTAGAAATAACTTAATTAATAATGTTTTTTATTTTGATGAGAAAAAAACATCTCGGTCATTTATAGAAACTTTTTATCATGAAGATAAAAAGCAGTTCTATAAGTGTGCACCAAAACTAACACACTCCCATATCTACATCTTTTGAAAAAATGCGAGTAAAACTAGCATCTCAAATTTTAAGTAACACTGTTGCAAGTTCTATGTATACCTATATCTCTCTTGGTATTCTTCTATCAGATGCATTGGGAACAATAGAAATTATTGAAAAATTTAATAATTTGTTTGATATTTTAAATTCTACTGATAACAATAATCCTAACAAATTTAAAAATGTATTTGAGGGAACTGATTTTCAGATCAATTACCTAGATTCTATGATAGATTTGGTACATAAACTGAAAATATTAGATAAAACAGGAAAAGATGTAACATTTCGTTCGCGATCAAAAAAGTGTTGGATTGTAACAATGAATGGTGTTAAAAAGCTTTGGGATAACTTAAAGTCTCATGATTTTAAATACTTAAAATACTTTAAATGATAAAAGCCTATCTATTTGAAAGACCATTTTATTCAGTAAAAGAGTTTCTTAATTAATAACTAAGAAATTACAATATCTTAATGTACAGTTCCATGGTTCTTTACCCGTGGGTCATCATTACCCAAAGTAGCTTAAACTTATTAGTTCCTACGGTTGATTATGCAATTTGTTATTGTCTTTTTCCTCTGTCTTTGTAAGCTTCGTCCATAAAATTGTAAAATTTTCAATGACAATAAAGCATATACTTCTATTCTATTCCCATCCGGGTTATGTTTATCCATGCTTATAATGGTCTTTTAGAATGGGTCGGAATAAGGAATATTTACTTGCATTCTATAAACATTCAGAAGTGCTTAATTAGATTTTTATGAAAAAGATTAAGATATTACAGCAAACTGTTATACAACGAGAATAAATTTTTAACTGTACGTAAATTGTCCTCTTACAAAGCCCTTATACACATACATGAAATAAAAAACGATACTATTATAAAGGATACTATTATACTATTATTATATATACATGAAATAAAAAAGGATACTATTATACATTAGCAATCATGCGCATCAAACTAGATATATAAGGAATAATGCAATTTTATCCAAATGTAATAAATCCATACTCCAGAAATATGTTGGCTGCATAGGGCCCAAATAATACAATTGTCTACCGGAGAATTTAAAACAAATTAAGAGTTATAAAAAACATAGATATCAGTATAAAACTAAACAATGGATTGGAAACAAAATAACACAATTCTGCGAAGAGCAGATTAATTGATCATAGTAATAAATAAAAATATCGAAATATACCTTGTTTACCAACTACAATATTTCTTGAATTTATTGACATATTTATGTCATATGCTATATTAAAATCAATGTATTTTAGTAAGTGCGCATATGTAACTGTTTATATTAATACATTTGTTAAATATTTGCTTTTTTGCACATATATTTTTTAAGTATCACACACAAGGGGTGCTACTTTTATGGTAGCTCTATTTCAGTGATTTTTCATATTTATTTAGTGTTAAGTATGCTTATTTTTTGTAAATCTATATTATAATCTAAGCTTCCTAAATAAACATTATTATTAGTATTAATTACAATAAATTTATATTATTATTATTGTGTTTTATTACAATTTTTTACCCCTCCCTACTACAAATGTGATATATCCAGGCGAATTGAATGTAGTACTGTACAACCAGAAGTTTCAGAGACCTCAGATGCACAGAAAGAGAAATCGAAGAGGTATACGTGTATATTAATTACAATAAATTTTTATTATTCTGTTTTATTACAACTTTTTACCCTTTCCTACCATAAATTTGATATGTCCTGGCGAGTTGAATTTACTACAATACAACCAGAAGTTTCAGAGACCTCAGATGCATAGAAAGAAATCTAAGGTCATTTTGTATACATTTATTCTAGCCGCAGCTGCAGAGTTTTTACGCGCAGCGAAAATATCGTGGTGTTGGAGGTTAATAGATAATCACATTCAAAGAAATTCCTCAACAGGAAACAAAAAAGTCAGCAACTTAAGACAAAGTTAATAGAAATTTCAAAAGTATAATTCTGTATTGATAAGTAAAAAAGTCTTGAGTCAAAATATAGATTTTGAGTGATGAAGTGTATTATTAACCTTAAAAAAACGATAAAAAGTAATAGAAATCAAGCTTTTCATCTCTATTTTAAAATTAACTCTCAAATTCAATCGGTTTTTTAGCGTACTAAAATACTTTTAGTACGTTAATTAGTTTGTTAAAAAAAAAACAAATCGATATTTTTGACTTAACAACTTTTTAATTATCAGTTCAGAATTGATATATAAGTTATATTAAATTTTACAGAAAAAATAAAATTCATACAAAACAGATTACTTCATTTCTCAGTGTAACTATCATTTACTACAGTTTTGAACGACTTCCTCACTACTTTTCTTCGTGTAATAAAATGTAGGTTCATTGCTACTGTCACTCTGAATTTCTGTCCTCCCAACATCAAAGGTTCCGACAAAGCTTTCGCTTCTGGTTGTGATTAGTGTTCTGTGGTTTGACTTTCTAGAACTAATGTTTTTGTGAGTGCACATTACCCCAATCGGCAAAGGAGGTTATCAGACAACCAGATATACAATAACTTACTGCAAATTTTGAATTTGAATTGAATACAACTGCATTTAAAATTTGTACTTATTTATTAAACAAATTACAAATAAGTAATTAAAATTATTGGCAACAAGAAGAATACTTAACAGTTCTTCCATAAAGTTGTTGTAGAGGTCTATTATTCATAATAAGCAACTGCTTTTTGATGTTGTATATATGCTTCAGTGTGTTGTACTACAAAAGTAAAGACAGTTAAAAAAAAAGAAAATATTTTGTAGTATCACTAATTATTATTGTTTATTAAATATATGACAAGTTAATAAAAATATCAATGATATATTGATTTGAAAGACAGGAAATGATAAAGAACAATACATATAGTGGTGTTAAAAAGTCCTGCATCAGCTTACAAAATACATGAAAATAGAAGTTTGCCTTAAATATTATTCAACCATTTACTATCTACATCAAACAAGCATTTAAACACAATATTATAAGTAAAATGGAAACACAGCAAAATTTTTGATTGATAAAAAAAAATTTAGTTTCGAAAATTTTTTATTCGATATTAAAAAAAAATGGCTATTTAAATGGGCGGGCATGTTTTCGACGCTGAAGTACCTGAGGGTCTTAAAAGTACCCTTGTTTTGGACGCTGACGTAAGGATTATCGCAGATACCAGATATTAGATATAATTAGGGTTTCATGATGGTCATTGAAATTTACTTAGTTACTAGTTATTAGTTTGTCAGAGAATAGTGAAAAGTGAACATGGAAATTTCAACGTTAGTAAGTAATCGTGGTAAACTTTTGCTCAAAGTGAACAGTTTTACTTTTTCTCAAGATAAAGTACTAAAATCGGGAGAAACGTATTGGAGGTGCGTAAAACGGTCGTGTAAAGCGAAGATATTCACAAAAGGGCCAGAAAAGTTAGTGATCCGAAGTAATCTAGAACATAATCACGAGTGTGATATCAAGACGCTTAATAGACAGATTGTGCGTAGCAGTGCCAAAAGGAAGGCTAAGGATAATTTGACCGAAAGGCCGTCCAAAATCATACATAGTGCGTTGAAAGAAAATGTAGATTGCTTGAGCCACATGTCTGTTAAAGACGTTAATTTAATACGAAATCAAATATACAGTGAACGGCGAATGGCTCAACCGAAACTGCCCAAAAGTAAAGAAGAAACTATTGCTGCGGTAAATATTATGAATATCAAAACACTTAAAGACGAGAATTTTATATTTGCGGTTGAACTAAGTTCTAACATTATCATCTTCTCGTGTAACACTAACATGCGTTTTCTGTGCGGCAGTGAAACGATTTATATAGACGGTACATTCAATATTTCAAGTAATTTTTTTATCAATGGACATTATATACCATTGTGTTATTGTTTACTTCCCGACAAATCTAAACAAACCTATATAAAACTATTTAATGTTTTGAAACGCAAATGTGAAGTAATTGGTCTAAAATTCAATCAAAAAATCATTTTCTCCGATTTTGAAATTGCTATCCACAATGCGTTTGAATTTTTCGTTTTGAATTTCCAAATGTGCACATTAAAGGGTGCCGTTTTCATCTTATGCAAGCTTGGTATCGTAATATCGGTGGTTGTGGCTTAATTCGGGAATATAAATTGGCAGACAGTGAAATATCTGAATGGCTGAAATATATTTTTCGGCTGCCATTTTTACCTCCCTCAGAAGTCAAAGAATCTTTCATATATGATTTTATGGCTATTCAACCAAAGAATTCAAAAATTGAAAAGTTTTCCGACTACATGTTGGACAACTACATTGGAAACCACGCAACATTTTCGTCGGAGATGTGGGCTGCGATGTGTGAGAGTTTACAATTAACAGCTAATGCTTGTGAATCGTTCCACTCGCGTTTTAATGATAATTTTTACCATGCTCATCCAAATATTTTCCATTTTATTGATGTTTTAAAAAATTTTCAAACTGAAACCTACATTAAAATTAATAGTGTCTGTAATAGTGAAAGTAATAGACTTAAAGATCCAAAGAGTAGAAAAAAAATATGTTCGTTAGAAATAGGATACATGAGTTACAAACTAACTGTATCGTTCGATTCCATTTCGTAAAATGTATGTCGTATTTATTTCAAAGTGACAAATAAACCTTATCAAGCTTAATCTCTAGAATTTTATTACCTGACTTTCCATTTACATTTCAATTACACCCAGCGTCCAAATCATGTATGCAGAAACAGGTAATTTTATTTTTCAGTGTCGAATTTTAAATTTAGCGTCCAAATCATGCACGCCCATTTAAATCAAGACTATATTGTACATCACATTGAAGTAATTTAAACTAATTTTAATATTTAATTGGCCAGCCCTTGTTTTTAATAACTAGTTCACATCTTTTGGGCATAAAATTTATTAATTTTTGCAGTTCCTGCATGGAAATACAGTCATGCCAAGCATGGATTAGAGATTCGATTAATTTCGTTTTATTTGTGGGTTGGCTTTTGGAAATGATGTTTGATATCCTTTGCCGCAAATTCTCAATGCGATTGATGTCCGGGGATTGCGCTGGCCAGTCCATCCTATTAATTTCATTACGCTCCATCCAAGCTTTAACCAATTTTGATCTATGACAAGGAGTATTATCATTTTTGTTCGCCCAACAGGTCTTTTCCACTACGCAGCATCTTATTCTGTAGTACCTTAATGTATTTGATAGCAATCATCATCCCAGAGACAACGTGTAGGCGACTAAGTCCTCGAGCGGACATGCGACACCATATCACAACGGGCGTTGGATATTTAATTGTGGGAAGAACACATTTTGGAGAAAACTCTTCACCAGGAAATCTTCTGACGTAGGCATTTCCAGCACAATTATTAATATTGAAAGTGGATTATTAATATTAAAAGTGGATTCATTACTAAACAGTATAGTCTACCACTGCTCTGCTGTCCAGATTCGATGTTCCTTGGCCTATTTCAAACGGTGCGATCTTTGCTTTTCTGAAAGCAGTGGTTTCTTCCGTACCTTACATCCCCTGTAAAAAACTAAGTAGTTTTTTTTCTGTAGGGTAACTACAGTGTTTATATAGTCAAAATATCTGGCAAATTTGTCATTAAGGTTCAATTTAATAGTACTTTAAGGACTTAATAATCACCTCATAATTTTCTCGGATTATGGGAAATCCTTTCAATCAGATTATTTTAATCTTTTCTGTAGAATTTTGAGCTAGTAATTAAAAAAACATTAGTATGTATACCGATAATGCTAATTACAAGCTAAAATGAATTAGCGAAAATATACAAAAAGCTTGTGTTAAACCTCAAAAACTATACGGCTTTTAGGTGATGCAGGACTTTTTAACACTACTTTACAAAACAGTTAAAAGTATGAAGGGTATTTTATATAGACAGATTTATCCCTGAAAGTAATCAAATTTGATATATGAAAATTTTGCACTTCATCATAACCGTAGCGAATATACACGTCGAAAATATTTACAGTTTGCTATCACTTTTGTCAAAATCTAAAGTTGTTTTATTTTTTGGTTACACTAATTTTTTAAATTTTAATGCTAATAGGTAATAGTTGTTTCATTATAAACCAGTTATAAGAGAGGTAGTTTTCCTGGACCTTCCCGTCCCTTTTATAAAATTCTAATTTAGATACAGATAATCAAAATGATCGAAACAACTAAGGAAACACAGTTTAATATGACAACTTTTTCGATGACAGAATACGAAAACAATATCAAAACGGACTAGACCAGAGACTTGATTATTCATATGTAAACCACGACACAATTACGCTTTATGTCGACATATTAAAATCACTAAAGGGTGCAGAAAGAACCTACCGACGAACAAATAGGAGTATATTATTATGGGATAATGAACTCGAACAACAGAAACATAAAGCAACGAGCGTTATCACAAATAGTTTACATCCCAATAAGTAGACGATAAAAACCAACATAGTAATAAAGAATTTTTAAAAGAATGGTTTGAACCGAAAAACCAAACATAGAAACGAAAATGAGAAGTGAAATTATGTGTAAGTGGAATCTAACTCAAAATCGAAATCAATTTAGTTTACAGTTTGTTGTTGTTTGTTTGTGTTTAAATGACTGTGGACACTAAATCCATTCGCCAATCTTACAATTTGAGGTGTAGTGTGTGTGTGCGTGTAGAGTAATTGTCTTGATACTTAGCAAAGTCGACGTCATTGTCTTTGCTAAGAGACGCTAATTGTATCCGAACGTCTGCGGTCCCTCCGGTGTGTACCGATCACACAAGGATAGAAATTATTTTCATTTATTAATTTTTTTAATAAACGAAAATTTCCACCCAGGTGGGATTCGAACTCACGACCTTTAGGTTTAAAGGCAGGCGCTCTTACCACTGAGCCACAGAGGAGGTAAGTTTACAGTTTAAAATAAGTATTAAAAATTACGGATCGTTTTGTACATTATATTTATCTGACAAAGTGATAATTCTATATAATGTAAAAAATGTTCTTTCGAAAGCGCATTTATGTGTTAGTGTATAAAAGCGACAGAAGAAAAGATTCATCGGCGACCTCAGGATGGTGGAAAATAGCTGATTTGTCGGTACAGTATGATAAAACCACCCTCAAGATAATTGAGATAGTTATAAAATCATATTAATTATCACCTTAGAACAAATAGTAGATACTTAAAGAAAATAATAATTTATTTTACCTGTTTTTGTCCAATTTTTACACGTTGCGTAAAAACTGTCCAAAGTGCGGCTTCGTTACAAGCTGGCGTAGTCAACGATCCTTCATAATAAAAATATGATTTCTTATTTTCTGGAAGGAAAGCCGCCAATGCGATTGGTTTATCCAGTTGGACTGGATGCCTTATATTTTCGGTTATGTTCGGCAAAGCTCTTACAATTGATTCATATGCAGGGTTTGTATCTAAAGATAACTAAAAAAATATTTTAATTAGTCTAATAATCTAGTTTTTTGTGTAGTCACTTTGTTTAGTTAATTAATGTAATACTTATAGTTACTACTTTTGTTTATTTAAAATTTAAAGTTAACGTCTCCTTGAAACGAATTATAAAACAAAATCTATTTTTATTCTTCTTCTTCAAGTGCCATCTCCGCGACGGATGTCGGCAATCAATATAGCTATTCGGACTTTTGAGGCTGCTGCTTTGAAAATTCCATTTAATGTACATCCGTACCACTCCCTCAGGTTGCGCAGCGGTGAAATTCTACGTCTCCCTATGCTGCATTTTCCTTGGATCTTTCCTATAATCAGTTGTAGCAAGGTGTATTTATCTCAACGTTTAATATGTCCGAGATATTCCAATTTTCTTGTTTTAATTGTATTTAAAATTTCTATTTTTTAATTTATCTTTCTCAGAACCTCTTTATTTGTGACGTGTTCTGTCCACGATATTTTCAGAATTCTTCTATGTACCCACAGCTCGAATGATTCTCGTTTTTTCATTGATGTCGCATTTAAGGTCCAAGATTCCATTCCATAAAATAAAGTCGAAGAAACATGGCACCTCGCCAACCTAACTCTTAGTTTCAATTTTAACTACCTTGTACATAGCAGTCTTTTTGTTGAAATTTGCTCTAGCCTTTTCTATTCTGATTTCGATCTCCTGAATGTAATCATTTGTGGAGTTAATCATTGTTCCCAGATATGAATATTTGTCCACTTGTTCGACGTTGGTTCCGTTTATTAGAAGATTACCGTTATTTCTTTGAGTTTTCGATATTCTCATAAATTTCGTCTTCTTGACATTTACTGTTAGACAATACTCTTTTCCATACTCCGCTATTCTGGCCACCAGTCTTTGAAGATCTTCAATATTTTCGGCTAAGATCACAGTGTCGTCCGCATATCTAATGTTGTTAATGGGAACTCCATTTACCTTTATTCCAGCTGTTTTACCCTCAAGAGTTTCAGGATCTCTTCGGAGTAGGTGTTAAAACGAATTGACGACAATACCTGTCTCACTCCACATCTAATTTCAATTTCTTCTGACAGCTGTTCATTAACACGTACTTTTGCTCGCTGTTTATAATATTAATTTAATATGATCCTGAGGTCGTTGTAGTCAATCTTCTTTAATTTCAGGACATTAATTAATTGTTTATATCGAACTTTATCGAATGCTTTACCTATTATAGTCAATAAAACCTGCGTATATATGCGCTATTTTTATGAGATAATCTAAAAACTTATTTTTAATGCTTTCATTAAGTTTTTCTATTCCTCTCTAACTATATATATATATATATATATATATATATATATATATATATATATATATATATATATATATATATATATATATATATACAAGAAATACTGGATATTATTGACTGTCGATATAAACAAATAAAACAGTTTATTAGGGTTGCAGTCAGAATATTGGCCGGGATGTTAAAAAAACACTCTTTTGACTTTTTTGTCGAGCTTTCGGAATGGTTTTATTCCTTTTTCAAGACATAGTCGTTGAGATTATTTATATAAGCATTTACACTCAACATTTATAACACACATTAAAACATTAAAATATACAATTATGGACACAATACATTATAAAATTTTTAAAATTTATTGTAAAAATAGTAGGTAAAACTTAGTTGATAGCATGTTTTACTTGTGTATGATTGTGTATATATATATATATATATATATATATATATATATATATATATATATATATATATATACAAATTTCCGTCTACTGGGTCATAAATAATGAATTGAATAATAATAATAATCTTTATTAATAGCACATGGCTAGAAAAAAATACATATAGATACATCAATTTATACCCTTAAAATTAAATCACAATGCTTTGCTTAACATATATCTTACATAACTTTTTAAATTGAGCTAAGTTTCCAGAAGCCTTAATGTTTTCCGGTAATTCATTGTATTGCTTTAATCCCCTATAAAAAAGATTGTTCTGACCAAAATTAGTGTTGACCCTATTCAGATAAAAGTTATTTCTAGAACGTGTGTTGTGTTCATGTACATCTCGAACAAAGGTACAATTATTACACAAATGCACAGGTATCAGACCATTTAACATTTTATAAACAAAAATCATACTATTACATACAATTGTCTGTCTTACACTTAAAACATTTGCCATTGTTAGCATGTCAGTTCTACTAGTGTATACACTACATCCTAATATTATCCTTAAGGCTTTATTTTGTTTTTTCTGCAGTACGTTCATTTGAGAAGCATTCATTAAAAACAGCAATGTAGAGCAAAAATAGAGATGGGGAGCAATAATCGATTTATATATGGTCAACCTAGACCAGCAACTTAAATTTTTTGACATTCTTCCCAATGCATAGATTTTTTTTGCTATTTTATTTGTAACAAACTTAAAATGTTCAACAAAACTTAAATTTTCATCTATAATACATCCTAAATACTTATACTGAACCACTCTCTCCAAAGCAATATTATTAATTTTAACATCTTTTATTATGTTATTTAATTTAAAATTTTTATTCTTTATAAGCATCATTTTTGTTTTAGTTACATTAAGACTTAAGGAATTATTATCGAGCCATTTTAATATATTACATATCTCTTCATTTATTATATCGATTATTTCATCTACCTTATCCCCTATTGCATATATCACAGTATCATCGGCAAACAATTGTACCTTACACTTTTTAACAACATCAACAATATCATTTATATATAGTATGAAAAGAGTAGGACCTAACACAGTTCCCTGTGGCACACCATACAGAGACTTCTGAGCCGATGAAATGGCACCATATTTTGTCACTTGTGTTCTATCAGTCAAATATTCTTGTAACCACTTTATAATTTTTTTACCAAAGCCATACCTTTCCATCTTTCTCAATAGCAGTTGTCTGTTTATGGTTTCAAATGCACGTTTAAAGTCTAAGAAAACCACACCAATCATTTTCCCGCACTCCAGCGCACCCTTCCAGTCAAACAAAACCGTTTGCATTGCACTCTCACAGGAATTTCCTCTCCTAAACCCTGCTTGGAATTTAGTTAACACATTATTGCTTTCCAAGTACTCCATTATTTGATCATTTACACATAATTCCAGCAGTTTTTCGTATGGTGGTACCATATTTATGGGTCGAAATTCCTCACACTTAACAGTTCCATGAACCTTCTCAATTGGTACAACCAGACTTCTCTTCCATTTACTTGGGAATACGCCACTTTCTAGACTACCATTTATAATATGCAAAATTTTGTCGCCTATTACTTCAAAGGAACTCTTTAAAATTTGAACTGTAATACCATCAACATTACTTTCTTTGTTTTTCATTTCTTTCATTTGTTTTTTTAAATCTTTCATTTCTAACATTTTGAATTTTTCCATTTTGCAGTCGACATGTATTGAACTACAAATTTCTTGGTGGGTTTTGTTTGAAATAATGCTATCTGCTATGTCTTTTACACTGTCTAGAAAAAATATATTAAATCTTTCACTTATCTCTTTACCAGTAACCCCCCCACCATCAAATATTATTTCACTTTTAGCTTCATGGTTTTTTTTGCCATTTACAAGCTTCTTTAATGTTTTCCACATTCTTGTTGGGTCGTTCTTACAATCATCTATTTTTTCCTGATAATAATTTTGTTTGGTAATTCTGATTAATGCTACGACTCTATTTCTTTGTTGTTTGAAATCATCCCAGTCAGTATCAGTTTTAGTAAATATAGCCTTTTTGTAATATTGATCTCTTTTTTTAATTTCATTCGCAATGTCTTCATTCCACCATAATTTATTTCCCCAAACATCGTTCGTATTAATAGACTTTTCTGGAGCAAACTGATCGAGTGCAGATAATACATTAGTTATTAGAATATCAGCATTGTTACTTACATCTATAGAGGAACTTGACGGCCACTGCATATCCATAAGTTTCATTTGAAATCCTGTCACATCCATTGTATTGTATTTTCTATAGGTTTTTGTGAGTGTTGTCTCATTGTTTCTACCCAGATCAGCTACAATTATCGAATGATCTGTAATCTTTGGAGTTGGGAGCACCTTGCAACTAATGTCTTTTTGATTTGTAAGTACTAGGTCAATCCTAGTAGATGTCGATTTTGTAATCCTTGTGTATTCGTTTATTAGATGATAGGTACCATTTTTAATAATATCATTTAATTTCATAGAGTAAAAGTTTATACTTGCCAAATCTATATTAAAATCTCCCAATATCACAAAGATAGCATCAGTCTCAATGCTATCTAAAAACGCATCCAACTCCTCCAAAAATTCCGCATGACTTGCACTAGGTGAATGGTACAGACAATAGATGTAATATTTCTGGTTTTCTATAGTTATTTGTATTCCTGTTAACCATATATTCTTGTTTTTTTCTTCTTTAATAATTTCTTTATGACGATACCTTTTTTGTATATAAATTGATGTTCCTCCTGTATGTCTACTTGAAGAAAAACCAACAACTGAGTTGTAGCCATCAATATCTATTTCATTTGATGCAAAATCTGAGGTAACATGGGTCTCCGATAAACACATAATAATTGGCTTTTTCTGACTTGCAATCCATGATAACTGTGTTTTATGTGTGCTAAATCCTTGAATGTTTAGGTACAGAATGGTTGGACTTGATTGCTATATTTTACAATTACCATGTGATAATTCAGGATACCTTATTTTTTTTCTTGTAATCGCTCTACTACTTTCTTATAGGCTTCACAATTCCTATCATATGCTTTATGTTTCAAATCAATATTGGAAATTTTTAAAACTTCTTCTGCATATTTGCAGTTTACACAACAAACTATACGTGATTTACAGTCTTTTACGTGATGCTCACCAGCGCATTGCTGACACGTGGGCGTCTCTTTTTTGCACTCTTTTGCAAGGTGACCAAACCTCCAACAATTGTAACACTGTTTAACATTTACG